TGGATTGTGAACAGGCTCCTTGTTGGGTTGCAGTGAAGTAGCCAGATTAGCGCTAGGCTCTGTTCTTCATGTAACATCCCCTGATCTGTTCCCTTTTTTGTCCTTCAGCTTTGAGGATGTGAGGGTCCTATTTCTGTGGTCATACATTTTATGTGATGTTTGCAACTACCGCCCACTGTGTCATTCTCAGATGTTGGATATTTCCAATCTCTAATTGCAAAGTAAAATATTTCTTTAGGTTTTGCTCTATATACAGAGGTAAGAAAAATGACCTGTAAGAACAAGCAATGGGAGATTCTAATTTTGTAGAGTTTGGTCCTACTTTTGGGATTGGGATTGCAGTAGGTTGGTTTTGTGGAACCATAATTTTTCCATGAAAGTCATCAGATAGAACTTCCCACACTAACAGCAATAGGGAAGGATCTGGAATAGGGCAGGGAGTGCCCTTGAAGTTGCTTAGAGGCGTCAGACCCCCTTCTCCGGAACAATTTGTGTTTTCCCGAAAATTTGCTATTTGGCTAGCTTGGCTGTTATCTCTATCCCTGTCAGCGTGGCCACCAGGATCTTGTTTCTCCTTCCAAAGTCCCCTCTCCCCACCCTGCCATGTGCACCAGAACTGTCCAGGCAGTGGTGTGCTGGTAAAGGTTTTCACAGCTAGTTCTCCAAGTGGGAAACACCCTGGCTTATAGCATTGACAGTTTCCATAGGGTGAACACTGCCACCGTGGCCAGTTTCAAGCAGTTACCATGATGTCACCAAACATGGGGTTGGTAGCGCATCATTACATAGTATGTTCACCACACACATGTGATCAAGGTAAATAATCTTGAAAGCATGGAAAATAAGAGTAGTGAAATAATTAGGAAGTGATGAGTTTTGAGTATTTATTACCTTCTTTTTAATAGAACTTATTTAATTGTAAATTTATATAATTTAATTTTTGATAGTGGCTGTGCTTAACAGTTTGTAAAATTCCTAAAAAATTTAACAACTGTTACACAAGCCAGCTGTAGCACACCGTTCTGTCTTGGTCTGGGAAAAGAGGGAGAAAGGGAAGAAATGAAAGGGCACATTTAATCAACTCTACTAAAAGGCCTCTGTGCCATTCAGAATTTATGACTGGTCCTTCTGAGCCTTGGGTCCATGAATTTCTAGAAATTACATAGTTGGTATTGGTCTGAAGCCTGGACTTTGGAGCAAGACACGCTAAATTCCAGACCCAGCTGTACCATTTGCTACTGTGTGACCTTAAAAGTGTCTAATCCCTCTTAGCTTAAGTTTCTTCATGGGTGAAATAATAGTACCTGCTTCATAAGGTTGTTATGGGGATTAAATGAGATAATATGCTCAAAGTACTTAGCTCACTAGGTTACATAGTAAACCCTCAATAAGTGGTAGCCATGAGTACTATTATTATTATTAACCTGATCCGTTTCTTAAAGGTCCACGATAGTCACAGGTAGTGATGGGGTCTATCCCAGCTGCAGGTACATGGAGAGAAGGATAATTAAAGGCAATCTTCTTTGCCTGGCCTGACTTCCATTCTGCACTGACCATTTATGCAGGCTCAGCCTCAAGGGCAGGAATGACCTTCTCTTCACACCTCCTGCCTCAAGTTCAAATGCTGGTAACTCATTTCTTGCTGTTAAGGGCTGCCGTCTCCCGAGGCCTACTTTTTTTTTCTTTAATTGTAATTTGTATTGGGGTATAGTTGATTTACAATGTTGTGTAGGTGTTCAGCAGAGTGAATCTGGTATACATATACATATATCCACTCTTTTTTAAGATTCTTTTCACATATATCCCTAGGCCTACGTTTTAAATGCAAATGCAGTTGGCCCTGTGCATCTGTGGGCTTCGATTGTACTATGGCATTTTGTATAAGGAACTCGAGCATCCGTGGATTTTGGTATCCAGGGGTGGGGGTGTGGGGCGTATCGAGGACCCAACGCCCTGCAGACAGAGAGGGCTGACTGTACTCCTTAGAGGGTGGGTATCAAGTCGGCATCTGGGTGGGCATGAGGCAGTCAGATCCCAGGGCTCTGTGTTGGGTGGACTCCTGGGGACCTAAAAATGAGGAACCTGCAGTGGGCGATGTGATACAGGAAGGGGCCTGAGGCCACTGAAGACCCCACTCCTTGGTTCCCCTGCCCCCCACCCCTCCCCCTGCTTCCAGGTTGACCAGTTCTTCGAGCTGAGATGCCTCTCAAAGCAAAGCTACTTCAGACTCTCCCTGCTCCCCGAACCAAGACCCAGTGGACCCTCGGGACCCCAGTCCACTGACGAGGTGGGAACGTGCTGACTACTCTGGGTTCGTCTTCCTCTGGCCAGAACACCAGGTTTGCTGTCGGTGGGCCAGGTTCAAGCTGTGGTCCCAACACACTTGGTGTGTGACTTTGGGAAGGTCGTTTCGTGTCTCTGAACTTCTGTGTTTTTCGTATACGGAGGATGCTGACGGGGATTCTCCTGAGTCTCAAATGAGGGAACCTTTGTGACCGTAAAGCTCAACACAGCGCACTTCGTTGGTACCATTTTCTAATCCCTGTGCCTTGTTTCCACTTCGCTCCTTTTCCTTCAATTCTTCACACATGGCTATAGAGAGGAAGGGCTTCTTGGGAGCACCATAGATGGATGAAAATAACACACCTCTACCCTTTAATCTAAAGGTTTCTAGGAACCAAACATATCCCTTCCGACCTGGGATCACTTATTCATAATACAGTCCTGTGTGCGCTACTAATAGCCTGAAGTTATTCTCGGTCAGGCTCTCCTCACTTGGCACCACAGGAGGGCAGAGGTGGCGTTTGCACGAGCCCTAAGGCCCTGTGGATGGTAATTATACTCTTAACGAGGTTTGGTTGGTTTATCTGGGGCACCTGTGATGCTACACAAATGTTTTCCAAGTGGTGGAGAATCAGGAACCATGGAAGGAATGCAGCCTCTGGAGGCATCAGACTTACAGCCAAGGAGGTCTTAGGTTCTGGGGAAGGGCCTGGGGGTAAAGTAAGGAGCCAGTCTCTCCTCACATGGACCAGCCAGCCTCAGCTTGTTCCCAGGCCGGCGGTGCGGTTCTGGGTGGGGGATGCTGGTGCCCTGTGGGACGTTCTGACAGCACTAAGAGGAAGGAGCTTACAACTCTTTCCTTGGGACTGCGCCCCTGGCGTTTGCCTCAATCAGTGACACGATGTTTATTGGTCTCCTTAGGGCTCTTAGAGAACAAAACCTCAGATCCCAGGCCCCAGCGGTTACTGTGTAACTAGAGGGGGCTGCATTCCGAGCTCCTCTATCGACCGACCCTGCCCTTGCAGAGCTGGAGCCGCGGGTTGGCAGCACAGGTGGCTGCAGGATTACCCAGTTGTTGGGGGGAAGGGTGTTGTGTTTCTGGATCAATTATTTTTGGCAGAGAAAAGATTGCTGATGGCCATTCAGGGCAAAAGCTGCCCGAAACTAAATCCTCACTGGGAGGCCTGCCAGGACCCAGCCGAGATGGCCAGGGGAGGGAACGGGACCGAGAGCAACGTCTGCTTGGTGAAAGGTCCACTGGTGAGCGTCGTGTGGGGTTTGGGGGCCCCGTCCGTGTAGCTGCTGCAACCAGGGATTGGCCGAGGGGAGAACAAAAATGACCAAAAGGAGGGGGAAGAGGACCTACTGGGAAGGCTTACAGGTATCAGCTTCCATCAGAAGCTTCCACTGAACATGCTTACTTTCTTCAAAAACACGAGAGACTTCCACAAGAAGAGGTTGGCAAAGTGTTCTGACAGCCGAATGAGAGAAGGCCATCTGCCTGGAGGCAGTATGGATTTTCGTGGCCTCTTCATTCATACTGCAACGGGGCGCTGGACGCATACTGACCAGTGATAGCGTGTGTGTGCTGAACGGGGCCCTCGGAGCGTTTTAGAAGTAAGGGAAGGAAAGAGGACCCTCTCAGGTGTCTGAATGATGGGGACAGCCCTTCAGGTCAGAGGACCTGGTCGCACCCTTCAAGTTCCTTGTGTTTGATGCCGAATCGTGGTTCTGCTTATGAACTGTCAAGGGCACAGAGGGCTGTTTGCCTGATACAAACGTGCTCCACCCCAGGGAAAGGATTGGTGGATGTTATAACTTGATAATAAAGCTCTCTCAGGAGAGAACGCCCTCCCAGAGGTGGGAGATTCATTTTATCCTTCGCTTTTTCCGCTGCTTCTCTTCCCCTGCATCTTGCCCATCCTTTTCTATGAATTGCTCAACAGACGGCAAAGAGATCTTCAAGAAAGCACCAAACCCTTGAGGCCTTTGATTTCGGAGCAGGAAAAGATGGCCCGGGCTGACAGCAAGCTCATAACAGCGTGACAAAAGAGGGTTCAACCTCTGCCCGTTCCCCCCAGCCCCGGGATCAAGCCAGAGGACACATGGCGTGGTGACGCCTGCAGTCCGGCGCCCTGGCCTTCGGAGGAGACGCCATCTCCTTGTGTCCAGGCAGCGTGGCCCCTGAGGTTCCTGGGAAGGTGGCAGACTTGCGTCTGGTTGGTCTGAAATACATACCTCCGAGCTGGCCAGGTCCCGTTCCCTAATCTGCTGTCGGCAGGCATTTCAGAGTTAGCTCACTCTGAAATAGATTAAAAAGAGAAGGAAGAAATGATTTGGACACTGTCTCCTTTCAACCCCAAGAGTCTGCTTTGTGACCTTGGTGACTTTTGCTCAATTTAGAAACAGCAGAGAAGGGAATTGCAAGGAGACGGTGGCGAGAAATCACCATTCTGACTGAATCCGATTAAAAGTGTTCTATAAAACTATACCAACAAATCAGGACAAACCTCACACCCAGATCTTGAATCACAAGATGTTTACGTAATATAATGCCCATGGCAGATGAAACCTGAGACAAAAAAAGAAAGGAAGGAAGGAGAGAAGGAGGGAGAAGGATAGAAAGGAGCCTGGAGTCCTGGCCTTCTGAGATCCAAGGGCCCAGGCAGAGTTCCTCGGGGAAGGGGTGCTGCACGTGACCGTCCGGGGCCTCTGCTTCACATCTCAGCTTCGGAGGAGCAGACCTCCGTCGCCGCAGTGATGGCAATCCCGATGGCAAGGCTGCCGTTGTCGGAGAAGAGCTGGGCCAGCGAGGTGTTGAGGACGAGGCAGTCCCCGTCAGTGATCACCGAGTCCACGCACTCCAGCACAGACCTGGGGGTGGCCTCCCACTTGAGACGCCGGTGGTTTCTGTTGAGCTCCAGGCGGTAGGTGAAGCAGTCGGCTTGGGTGGGGGTCCCGATGAGCATCATGGTGGCGAAGAACTGGGGGTGCCCTGCGTGCCTCTCCCGTTTCCGAAGCACCAGCAGAAAGTGGTGGCCGAGGCAAGAGTGCATGATGATCCAGTCGGCCGGTGCCGGGAGGTGCATGTCCGTGGCCAGGAAGACGATCTCGGCTCCCTGGAGGATGTCCACCCTGTGCATTTGCCGCAGGTGGGGCACCACCACCTCCAGGTGGCCTTCCCACTGGCAGGAGAACAAGGGGCAGGTGCAGGGCGTCACCTGGGCAGCGTGTAGCCCCGCCTCCTGGTGCGGGGGGTGGTGGTGAGGGCGGGCGTGGTGGCGGAGGTGGGGCTGGCGGGCGTGGTGGCGGAGGAGTGGGGGGAGGAGGTGAGGGGGGAAGCTGCCGGGCTCCGGGGCGCTCTGGGTGACGGCGCATCGGCCGGACACATACTGTAGGCGAAAGAGAAGAACGTTAGTGGCGGTGAGATCAGTCTCTCAGCCTGGCTGAGACTCCCCCGGTGTTCAGAATGTGGAAAGCAGACTCTCCCTTACCGGTAGAGAAAGCTCTATTTCTTAAAAAAATGAGACCTGCCAGACTGTTTTCCAAAATGGCAGCACCGTTCTACATCCCCATCAGTCATCTAAGAGAGTTCCAATTTCTCCACGTCCTTGCCAACACTTGTTATTATCTGTTTTGACAAATATTTTAATGAGACAGAATTCATTGTTTTGAATTTTGCCAGATTTAGATGCTGAAGTCTTCTCCAAGTCATTTCATTTCAGTATAGAATGTAAATTTACCCAATCGGAAACAGAAGCTTCTTCAAGAGATTCCTCCTGCAAGAAGAGATTTTCCAAATGTATTAGTATATTTAAAAAAGAAAACAGGGCTTCCCTGGTGGCGCAGTGGTTGAGAGTCCGCCTGCCGATGCAGGGGACGCGGGTTCGTGCCCCGTTCCGGGAAGATCCCACATGCCGCGGAGCAGCTGCGCCCGTGAGCCATGGCTGCTGAGCCTGCGCGTCCGGAGCCTGTGCTCCACAACGGGAGAGGCCACAACAGTGAGAGGCCCGCGTACCGCAAAAAAAAAAAAAAAAAAGGAAAACAAAACTTTAAAACAATGAGGGACACGGTGGATGCCTTGGGTGGTTGAGATTCTGAAAACTCAACCAAGAAAATGCAATATTTCTGCCTTTCTGATTCTTCAATTAGATACTCAGGCAGTTTTCCCCTTCAAATAACTTGCATTGATGGTCATTAGTCATAAAGAAAAAAGAAATCATTTTTTTGTGCTTTTTTGATACTGTTGATATTTTTGTGAAGGGACTGGAAGTCAATGGATTTTTTCCCTCTATTTTATCATTACTATTATTTTTAGAACAAAATTTTGGTAAATACCTATTTGTCCTTCCAGTGCTGCCAGGGGTTGTGCTATCTGCGGTGCCCTTCTGGGTAGTAAGGCAACCATGGAACCCCGAGCTGATGGTGTGCACCTGGACCACAGTCCCCAGGGAGGGAGCCTGAGCTATGACTCCTGGGACTTTGCCCCACCAGGCACACTTCTGTCCTGCTTGAGGCTCACTGTTCCAGAGCGACTTGCCAGGGACTCACCACTAGGCAGCTTCCGCCCTGAGACTCTCTCGACCTTTTGTTCTTCACGACAGCGTGCCCACCAATGCCCTCAAAACATCAGGAGCTGTGACAACACTTTCTGATCAGGGATCAGTAAGCATTTACTGAGCACCTGCCACGACCAGACCCTAGAGATACAGCTGTGAGCAAAATCAACACTGCGTTTCTCGGCGTAGGTGGTACAGACATTAGTGCGTATCTAATTAGTTACGGTTTTGAAAAGGCTCTTCCCTGGCACAAGGACTGTGATTCCTGTCTTTCAGTTGAAGAAACAGGCTTCAGTAGTCACGTGCCCAAGGTTACAAAGCTGGGAAGTGAAAGATGGGATTCATTTTCACGCCTCATGACTCTGAACACATCAACTGCCCTCCCCTCAGTAATCCCACCTCCAGCTCCCTCCCCCATTCTTTGAGGGCTTTTTTCTTTAATTAGTTTGTGGGATCTGGGCTGTGCAGGGGAGGTGGCCGGTCTGCAGGGTGCTCCAGGCACGAGGCGTTCAAGTGGCAGCCTTCTCTGGGCTGCCCTCGGGTTCGCTCTCCAAGCCCCTCTGGACTTCGGGTGCCTCTGGGCACTTGCCTCGCTTCAGTTCCTTGCCAGCATGTAGAGGACCAGGGTGATGGGTGATGGTCTGTCTTTCATGCTCATCGCTGTTACGGCCATCTCCTCGGGCTCAGAGAGTGGCTGGAGGCCTGGCGAGCTTCCCTTTCTTTAGAGCACCCGGGGACACATACGCACACGCTGGGGGCCCGACTAGCTCTGTTCTGGAGTTGTTCGCCCCCGCGCTCTCCTCCGCCGGGAGCCCAGCTGACCTGGAGGGTGAGCTACAGGGCCCTTCCAGTAGCTCCTACGCGGCAGCTACTGGGCAGCCTGTCATCACCCATCCTGCACACCCGCCAAGCCACCTGCCCCAAGGGGGACAGTGTCTTCCCCTTGATGGAAAGGCTGTGTTGCAGAATCCTGCTAGTGATGAGACTGACTCAGCCTTTAGTGTTAAATGTGGGGAAGGGAATTAACTAGTAGGTAGCGTCTACTAAGTGTTAGGCGCTGTGGAAAGTAGGTATTTTTTGTGTCGTTATTTAATTTCTCACAGAAAAGATCAATTTTCTTACTTTTAAAAAAAGTTAAATCTGGCTTAGTTCCTACCTGCCTGCTGGTGGCTGATATCATTTAGTCAACCGGTGAAGGAGGGGGGCCAATTCCTAGGATCCCTTGGGATTGTACAAGTAGCCCAGGCTCATACACTCCACCAGCCAGATGCAAGGACTCCTCCCAGGTCCTCCCAACAGGTCCGGCAGAAGATCAGCCTCTTCTGTGTCGCTCAAGAGGACCTGGTGTTGGCTTCTCATGGAAAGCCTCAAACGCTGTCCCCTCTCCCAGCCTCTGAGAAGCCCCCCACCCTCATTTAGGTCACAGCAGTCACGAGAGAAACATGTTATGTGTGTCTTCTAGATGAAGGAACGGACACAGAGAGGTTGAGTCACTTGCCCAGGGTCACACAGCTTATAAGGGGTGCAGATGGGAATGGAGCCCAGATCAGTTAAAGGTGATATGGATCATAGCCTGGGAAGATCACCAGCTGGATGTTGGCCAACTTTGGTCTGTTCCACCGTTTACTTGTCCAGCAGCCTTGATTAAGTCAGTTGCCCCATCAGCAAAATATTTATTTCATAGGGTTGCCAGGGGATCAAATGAAACAGTGCCTGTCAAACAGCTTTAATAACCACATCAAGTATTACATCAGTAAGGCATTTCCATCTGGACACGGTTTGGGATGAAGCGTTTCGGTGGCCTTCCCCCTCGGTCCGTGGCTGCCTGCCTTGGTACTGGTCAGCTGACCCTCGCACCTGGGCAGCACTCTGGGCTGAACACAGGCCACCGGAAGGGTCTGGAGACCCCAACATAGCACTTGGCTGGGGCCTCCTGTCCAATGCCGATGCATGATGACGGAATATCCTGAAATTCCCATCTCAGAAATGGCCTCTGGGCTATTCTCTGCCCTTCTGCAGATGCATCTTCCGTCTTCTCCATCCTGTTCTGTGCAGCTAGTATCAGAGATGTGAAACCAAAGTAAGGAGGGCATGAGGAAGAAACACTTCAACCTCCTGTTCTTCCCCGACTCCAGTCTCCCGCCATGCCTCCCACTGGCTAAACGCAGTCAGAGACGTAGCAGAAGGAAGCCCAGGCGGTGCACTCAGTGAGGGTCAGCCCCCGTTGGAAACGGTGCTTCACCAGTGAGGAGCACATGTGAAGAGGGAATGCCCACCTGTATGCAAATGTCTCAGTTCCCTCCTTTGTGATGTTAGCTGATCCGACCAGTCTGGGCCTCCTAGGCTGACCTTCGATGAGGCTGACAGGGGGGAGGCAGGGAGGGCTAATATATGCCCACGATCATTAAGCCGTTCGACAAGAATGGATACAGCAGCTGACACGTGCACCGCCTCAGCACAGGCTGAGAATACTGAGCAGAGTACGATCCCAGTTCCTGTCTCAGTAGCTCACCGTGATTAGTATAATATAACACAATGCAAAAATGCAGGACCGGAGGGGCTCTGAGTGTGCAAAGTGGGGGCCCTAGCTATTCTAGTCAGTGCCCAGTGCCATTTACCCTGGGCGAAGCAGGAAGGGTGATGCTCTAACAAAGTAGGCAAAAGGTTTGCTGATGGGGTGAATAACAGGTTCCAAGGAGCTGGATCTGAAAGACCATGGGATTTTTTTTTTTTTTTTTTTTTTTTTTTTTTTTTTTTTTTTT